AGGTAATAATAGTTGCAAGAAAGAGGGGGCATACCTGAGAATATCTAAAGTGCCTGAATCAACTGGATGTGGCAGCTATTTATTGGAGTAGGAATGGAGGGAGGGGGGATGAGATGTAAAGGGAAAACAAGTGTTAGATGACCTGATTAATAAAATAGCAGAAATGGCACAGAAGAGAGGCAGGAGAAGCAAGGTGATGGGTTGGCCGAGCTCCAAAGAAAGATGATCAACAATGTTAAATACAGTACTGCAGAGATATCAAGAAGGATAGAACTCAAAATGGTTGGGGAATGGTTATTCTATACTAAACACTCATCATCACCCAACACCTTCGGATTGTTTTGTGCATCTCTTACTTTATAAAAAGGTCTTTTTCAAAGATAACATCCTAGAAAAAAAACATGAAACACTAAACATAATAGAGCTGAAAAGTAACTGGGGTGGTGCTAAATCAGTGTAAAATATTATTGCAAAGTCCTTTTGAATGGAAAGATTGGTAACTTAAGAGAGAAGCAATGATTTAAGAAAAGAATGATAGGGCTGGCCAGATAGCTCAGCAGATTAAAGCACCTGCTTAGGCAGGTGCGGGGACCGGGGCTTGATTCCCCATGTGCTGTGGAGGCCCCACTCCCAGGCTGAGACCACGATCCCAGCACTTGGGAGGCTGAAAATAGGAGGATCTCTATGAGTCTAATCTGTATAGTGACACCCTGTAGGCCCTGTACTAAATACATAAACAAAAGAGAAAAGAATGATAAACCTAGGGGATCCAAAACTTTCCTTTGTATAAAAAATTCAGTCTATCTACCTTGTTTTTAAAAATTCAAATTAGGATTTCAGTTAATGTGGACTCTGATGTACTCCAGGCTATTTGCTTTTAAGTTATGTTCCCCTAAAAAAGGATTCCATTTTTATTTTCTAAAATTGGGGCTGGGGAGATGGCTCAGTAGAATAAGCACTTGCCTGGCAAGCACAAGGGTCTGAGTTCAATCCCCGGTTCTGCCAAAGAAAACCCAACAACAACAAAATAAATAAATAAAATACATTTACCTATAAGGGGCCAGGGAAATAGTTCAGTAGAATAAGCGCTTGCTGGCAAGCACAAGGGCCTGAGTTCAATCCCTGGTTCGAAAAAAAAAAAAACCAAAACTCTGATTTCTCTCTTCAAATGGTATAAATCTTTCACTTTCTAAAGTACATTTACCTATCTTAACTGTGATTAAAAAGATAGTAGTTTCTTATATGTCTGACACCGTGCTGAACACTTTACCGGTATTATCTCATTTAATCCTAGAAACTTTATGAGGCAAGTTTATTATTCCTCCCTTACACAGAAGAAAACTGAGAAAAATAAAATAACTTGCCAAAAGTTAAAAGTAGTAAGTGGCAAAACCCAACCTCCAAACTAATGTTCTCAAATGTCTTTCAACAATGTACACAAACTGCTTTATATGTCAAAATGGATCCTACTGGAAACCATCAAATTATTAACTTACACTGCTTGATCCATTTATTTTTTTAATAGCCTGCAGGAATAATGCTTCTCCTGCCACACCTTTGCGTATGCTGCAAGTTCTTATGTCATGGATGATGAAGCTTGTAGCTCTATACAAGTATTTCAATAAATTCATGCCTGTACATGTTGACTTTATGAAAATTGGACAAGCAAGTACACACACCATTTCAACCCGCAGGCTGTATTCAATTAGCAGGCAAGGCTCAGGCCCATCTGCTCCGAGCGAAAGACGAACAGTTAATTGCACAAGAGTGAGAGAATGCTTACTGTGTCTTACTGTGACAATCTTTTAGATGGTTCCTCTAAGTTTAGACTGCTTCTTACATGATTTTCACTTTGAAGGTAAAGGCTGTGAATAGTAACTACATTTTGAAATAAAATTTCTTCATAATTTCCTTCCAGGTCTCTCAATCTGTTTATAATATGTATATCCAAAGAGTCCAAGGCAAGCTGTTAATAACCATCTATCATTTGATTTTCTGAAAACTTTGTAAACTGGATAAAATACAGATATAAATTGCATGGGTTTATTCTAGGCTACAGCTATGTTTTGTAAAATTTTGGTATACCTAAAAATGGCTTCATGTCCCTAAATAATTATGCCTACATAGCATAGTGGAGTTTCTTTCTGCTAAACAAAAAATGTAGAGCAACTGTTTTAAACCAGTTCTATTACTTGAAACAACTGTATCTTTGTCATCACAGGATTGTGATAGTTCAGTGTAGATAGCACAAACTGGAAGAAAGGAGAAACAATTCAAGTACAGGGTCCTATGAGAGTCCCTGAAGAGAAACTTTGTAAATAAAGAAGAAAACAATTAGTGTCATACATTTGGTAGCCCCTGTGAAATTCATGGCAATATATAATGAGTTAATCAACCTTGAAACCTCAGCCCTACTGTTCTGCCATTATGATATAAGATAAAATGCTTTTGACCAGATATTAACAGAGAGCCCCAGGCTTCTTCTCAGGAATGTGAAGAACAGTAAACAACTTAGCAAACTAATATTCAATACCACGTTTGGTTAAAATGAAGTTATTTCCCCCTATGTTGAAAAATAGTTTCAACATGAGTTCAAGGCACAAATACAATTTTATATCTCAAGTAATTTGCTAGGTGTTTTGGCTAGTTAGCTCAGTGGCAATATTTGCCTCAACAATAATTTGGATAACAATAACTTTTTAAAGTATCAAAATACCTTTCTTTATGTATTTTAATTAATCAGTACTTAGAGCTTTACTCCTCTATGGTATCCTGAAATTCAATAGCCATAATTAGATTCACAATGTATTAATATCTTTAAGTTGAACAATCATACATTTATGCATTCATTTTTGCATTCTGTTAGCATTAGTTATTATTAAAGCTAATATTCATTGACTATTATCTGATAGATGGTTTACATATGTTATCTTCGGTAGGCACAACATAAATATTATCTCCATATTACAGATGGGGAAAAGCAAGAGTCTGTAAAACAATCTCACCAAGAACACAAGGCTATTGAGCGATAAATGTAGAATTTGATTCTCAATCTTGCCTACAATGTCTGTGCTCTTCCTAGCATACCACATCACTGTCAATGAAGTATAATATATATACAGAATGCCTGGTACAATGTACAAGCTCAACAAAAATTAAATTTTGTCTCTTTTTAAGAATTTTTGTCTCTTACAGCTGTTAGATGAATGTTCTTAACAGAAGTGGAAAGAAAATGGTCTAAGTAGGAACTCTAATTAAAGCGTTCTCTTCAATTATGAATTATTCATGCAAATAAATCTCATTTGGAGAAAACATAGTCAAACCCTCTCATTTGAATGATCAACTGAAAGGTAAAGGCCTTAAAATTAACTTAGCCTTATTATTCATTTTGCTAGCTATTAAAAAGTAATTTCATTCTAATCAGTGAATTATCAACCAGGAGAGATACAGTTTCTGCTTTAATCAAGATACTAAAAATCACAGGATTTAAGAGCTGGAGGAGATCTTAGGAGTTCATCTAAGGCTGAGGATATCGCTCAATGGCCCAGTGTCTCCTTGGCAAGCATAAGGTCCTGAGTTTGATTCCTAGTACAAGATAAAAAAAAAAGAGTTCATCTACTTCACTTTTATCTCTGCATGTTCTGCAGAGTTCACATCCTCTGTCTCCACCTCCATGCTACCATTTGACATATGAATAATTTCTACAAGCTTACAAAACTGAAAGAAGTGAAGAAGGAGCTAAAGGAACTTGAGGCTCATGAGTTCCAGTTCAGTGGTCTTTCCATTATGCCACCCAGTCACTCAATACAAGTGCTCTCTAGGCAGAGCCAGTCATACTGTTTTAAGAAAAAACAAAATCTCTAGCTGTTCAGTAAGCAGATTCTTCTCCCCAGTGACTCCTGGGAAGCGAATCCGTATCAGTTAACCTTAGCAAGAGTGAATGATGTGTTATACTATCCTAGAAGCTTTCAGGCTTTATTTCATTTTCTCCTCAAGGAAAATCTGTCAATAAGTTATTTTTTCTCTTTCTTATTTATTACCATTTGGCTGATGAGGGTATTCAGAGTCAAATAAGTTACCCAAGGTCACAGGACTAGTAAGCAATGGAGCAGAAATTTGAATCAAGGTCTGACTTGAGGCCTGGCTCTTAACCACAATATACTGCTATCACATAGTTCCTCCTTTTTCCCTCCCATTTTTTTCTTTGTTCTTTGAGGCCTAGAATCACTATATACATATGGTATGGATACCTACTCACACACAGGGAGACTTTTGGAAGGGTAACTAAAGGGAGAAAAATAGTAACTCATCTCACCTCCACAAAATTGAGAACTACCTGGACTACTTTTATGAAGTCTAGGCCTTTGCTATCCTCATGCAGAACAGACCTCTTTCTTCTCAGTAAACTTAATCACCTGGCTGGAAAGTCAATAACCTAAATCAGAAATTTCAAAGATAACAAAAATCACTTGGGACAAGGAACCACTGGACACAGAAGATCCCAAAAGCTAAGCAAAGTTTCCACTAAAATTGCAATTCTTTAACAGGGCACAGTAATACAATCTTTTACCTGATACCTAGGAAACATGGAGGGAAAAAAAAAACAGGGAAAGAAGAAAATCAGCTGTTACACAGCAAAGAATGCAAAGGGCCATCTCTCCCCCTTCCTTAAAAGCCTGTGCCCACCACTACTTGATCCAAGGCAAGGCACCCTTGTAAAACACCAGCAAAAGGAGATGCAAAGAGCCCAAACAGTTCAGGATTTGCCAGTTTTGAAATCTCGTTTGCCTTACCCCCTCTTTCAGGAAAGAGGCAAATTCTGGGTTTTCTGTTCTGAGCAATCCCCATTGCTGGTGAATCTTTGGGAAGACACTGCCCCACACCGTGTGAAGGGAAAGGGCACCCATTTTCCCTTAGGCGCAGGGGGACAGGGCACAGAGGAAAATGGGAGAGACAGGTCGCGGCAGTTCGAAGGGGTGCAATTTAGTAGCTGCACTCACCGGGGTGAGACATGGGGATGACTTCATTGCGGGTCCCCGGGAAGTTAAAGATGACGGCTCCAGAGGCCCCTCTTTCGTACGCCAGATGGATTTTGTCTGCGAAGGTGCAGCCCCCGCCACGTTGGATAAGGGCCAGCCAAGAGACTTGCACAGTGCTTCCCCAAACCGTGGGCACCGAAAAATTCGTGTGTGGGTTACAGGCGTTGAGTGCCCCGGGCCCGTCGGGCGGTACCAGGACCCCAGCCACAGGCTCCAGCGGCGAGTCCTGGCCATACACGCCCTCTTCGCTCAGCTCCCACACCGTGCGGTTCACTCCGGTGTGCGGAACTCTCCAGGACACGTTGAGGTAAGCGGTCCACACAGCTTCGGCCCCTCGGGAGCCCGGGGCGTGAGGACTCAGAGCTAGTAGAAAGCACCATGCCAGCAATCGGGAAGAGCCGCAGTCACCGCGGCAGGAGACCCCGGTCCCAGGCGGCGGCCCCATGACGCGCGCGCTCCGCGTTTCCCTTGGGCCAGTGGTACACAAGCCCTCCTGGCGCTTGGCAGGACCCCGGTCTTGACCAGGTGTGTGCCAGGTGGGAGCTGAGGGACAGAGACTGGCGCACCAAGAGCTAGGTCACAGGCGCGAGGCACGTAGCGTCTGTAGAGAGAGGCTGCAGCAGACGCAGTTCCTGTAAGCTCCAGTCCTCTCAGCTACAGCTGCGGCGCGTCGGCGGGTCTGAAGCTTTAGCGCGAAGCTCCTCCCAGACGACTGGGGGTAGAGGTGGCTGAGAGGAAGGAAAGGACACTGCGGGATCCGCCTCTTAAAAGGGTAACAGGATGGGAAAGCCTTAGAGTGGGCGCTGAGGTTGTGTGGCCAGGTGTGTCACGTTATTTTATGAGCATGAACAGACGATGAAGTACCGAATCCGTCAACATACAAGGCTTGTGGTAGGATTGGAGTCTGTTTTGAATTTCAAGAATGTCTCGATCCCTCCTAACATTTCCTTAAAGGGCGTTTTGGGTTTAAGGTGCCAGAATGTGAAAGTACTTCTAAATAGAGGCAGGTCTGAAGGATCTGAGTTGCAGTCAAGAGAATTTGGGTAAGGCTAGGAGCTTGGTGTTTATTGAATCTCTGGGCCAAGGGCAGGAAAAACGCGTTGTTATTGCCCACCTTTTGTGCCCCACCCCCAGCACATTTCTCCTTTTCTGTTCTTAATAAACACCACACATCCCAATTTTTTTCTACTTATCCCAGCCTAAATATACAGCATCTGGCATCTTGCCTCCTTTAAAAATAATCTTGTGCCTTAAAAAAGAATTATCATTTTTCACAACTCCCCAAAGCAAACCCTTCCTTTTTCTTCACTTTCCACAATAGGGTGTTTACCCAAACGGATTTTCCTGCACCATTCATGACCCTAACTACTTCAGTCTCCATTTCCACTAACTGAAAGGAGACTAACCCACCTAGGAAATTCACCCATGTCACCACTGCATTATAATTTATGCTTCCTATGTGCATAATTTCTGTCTACTATGTCAATTATCTTTACTGGAGATCATTAAATGTATATTGAAATAAACTGAATTAGTACATTTGGTGTCTGGTAGTTATATATTTTTTTATTTTTATTTTTGGCAGAACCAGGAATTAAACTCAGGCCCTTGTGCTTGCTAGGCAAGCGCTTATTCTACCGAGCTATTTCCCCAGCCCCATAACTTTGTACCTTGGGACCTGTGCCTCAATTGCTTCTTCATTTGTAAAATGGGAATTATAATAGCACCTACTTCATAGAGTTCAGATGATTAAATTACTTCATACACGTATATCACTTAGAATAGTGCTTCATAGAGTGTAAAAGTTCGGTGTTAAACATCATTATTATTCAACGGTTCAGGGACACAATACTTTTAGACTTATCTTAAAGTTATTACATTGAGGCACTAGGTGGAGAAATTGATGTTTAAGATGTTCGGTCTTAGCTACTTTTTCAGTATTTACTTTATCCATTCCAACCAACACTTGTTTAATTCCCAGTTATTTCCCTTAATCTCTGGCCCAGCATTTACTCAATAAACATTAACAAGATTTATCAAATAGTACCTGGAATATAAACAAAGTGACAGTCTTGTAATATATGATCCCTAGGTTTTGAAAGGAGCTTTTAGAAGTCAGGATGGGGAGATGGGTATATGGGACCAATAGTACAGTATCTCTAAATATTGATGATGTTAATCTCTGAGATTAAAATTACCAATAAAGAAAGAAAAAAGACTAACCATTTCTAAAAAGTGGTACAATTCAAGAAATTGTCACAATTTGTTTACAAAGAACACCCTCAAAATTCAATCCAACACTATTACTTGAATGGCAGTCAACTTTATTGTACCTCGAAGAAACAATGCAATCAAAAGAAGGGAATATTGTATGAAGTACTTACAAAAATGAAGAGATATTACATATAATACATATACATTCATTATTTACTTATGCAAAACATTTATCATACAACTATCATATACCATGAACTGAATATTGGGGGTAAGACATCAACTGTCCTCGCAAAGAGCTCATAAATCACGTTGATGAAGGTAAGTGTTTAGGAAGTTGAGGCAGAAGGATCACAGTGAATTTGGGACCAGCCTGGGCAGCATAGTAAGTTCAAAGTCAGCCTGAAATGCATAGCAAGAACCTTTTTCTCCCTAGGCCAGCCAAATAACTCAGCAGATTAAAGCACCTGAAAGCAGGTGAAGGGGCCTGGGGTTTTGATCTCCAGGCCTGCCATGCCGGCCCCGCCCCCGGGGCACCCTGAGAGGGCAATTGAGATTGGGCATGGTGGTGTTCTCCTCTAATCCCAGCACTTGGGAGGCTGTAAGCAGGAGAATCACTACAAGTCTGATCTAGTAGTGAGACCCTGAATACTCGGTAGACCCTTCCTTAAAATACAGAAAAAAGCACCTTTCTCTACTCTCTCTCTCTCTCTCTCTCTCTCTCTCTCTCTCTCTCTCTCTCTCTCTCT